AAAAACAAACCTTAATGGATCTATTCTTCCTTTTTTAAAAAACATTTAGAATTTGAATTTTGACAAAATATTTCTGAGGAAAATGCAGCCGATAGCTGAAAGTAAAACAGGGAACCTGTAACTTTTTTTTGTCTTTTTGCTCAAAATTCAGGACTTTAACCATCAGGTCAGCTGGCGCGTGATTGACTGTCTCTGCAAACAGCGGCACAGGCGGCTTCCTGCATGTTGAGGAAAACTTCCGATTCGGAGCGGTGTCTACATTTGTCCAAGTGACGTCATCTATATCATCTACTTGTCCAAGTGACGTCATCTATATCATCTACTTGTCCAAGTGACGTCATCTATATCATCTACTTGTCCAAGTGACGTCATCTATATCATCTACTTGTCCAAGTGACGTCATCTATATCATCTACTTGTCCAAGTGACGTCATCTATATCATCTACTTGTCCAAGTGACGCCATCTATATCATCTACATTTGTCCAAGTGACGCCATCTATATCATCTACATTTGTCCAAGTGACGCCATCTATATCATCTACATTTGTCCAAGTGACGCCATCTATATCATCTACATTTGTCCAAGTGACGCCATCTATATCATCTACATTTGTCCAAGTGGCGACACATAAACCATCTACAAATGTTGTTAAAGAAAGTGTGGAATGTAAGCTCAAAAAGAAAGAAAGAGAGTGTGAAACATATGCTATCCCCCCTCCCTCCCCCCAAACCCCCCCATAAAAAAACAACAACAAAACAACTAACACCCAACCCCCGCCCCCCAATAAAAATAAAACAACAACAACAACAACAAAAACAACAACAACAGTAAACAACAAAAACGATCACAACCACCTCCCCCCAAAAACAACAACAACAACAAAGAAAACAAACCTCCTAAAACCAACCCAACAAAAACAAAAAACAAAACAAACAAAAACAAACACAGAAAGACAAAAAAGAAGAAGAAAAAACAAGAGAAGCCACGAGAGCGACAGACCATGACAGCGTGCAGTGTAAAATGTCCACCTTTCTAACACAACCTTCTTTTCTCCTCGACAATATCACCGGCCGTCTTAGACAGTTCACGAACTCAGAATTACTAAGTTTCATCTGACAGTTTGGGCCGTTTTGAGTTACCAAATATTGAGGTCAGAAACCATATGTGAGGTGCGTGGTGGAATCAGGCTCTCGTCAAAATAATCAAAATGAAGAAACGTGCATTTTTCCGCAGGTTTGTAAATTTTTATCAAATTTTTGTTTATCGGCTCAACACCTTTCATGCCCATTAAAGAACTCATTTCTGTGTGGATTTTTTAAGGAAAAACGTTGATTAAAGGCACAAAAAAATGTAAATGTTCAGTTACCACGCACTCTTAAGCTAAGGAAACAACTAATCTTTGGCGGCCATTTTCTCACAAATTTTACCTCAGAAAACAGGCGACCCCCACCTCCTTCATTCGCAAATGTCTCAACATGTATTCAAGATAAATGGATATTTTTTTCATCCAAATAAAGACAAGCGAACAAGCTTTAAGATGATATCAATAACTCAACAAGCCCAAAATTTTACGAGAGCCTCACATATTATTATGTTCTATCTGCTCTATCAAAATTGTAAGAATATTCGGAGTCATTATCAAGATATTCAAAGAATTATATTTGAAAAAGCTTGACATGTTGTGAAACTCAAAACGTTTTACGTCATATTTCTCTAAACTATAGGTGCTCCGCAGATAGGACTTTGTCATTCTGGGACAGCCAGTTCTCACGGTGATTTTAGCAGACGTTTAGATTATAGTATTGTTGCAATGACAAGTTAGCCCGATGTCCCTGTTCAAAGAGTACTCATTGTTTTTGAGAATGTTTTTAAAGTAAAGAAAAAGGCACCTCACCTTGCAAGCCTCGCAGGTGTTGACTCCGTAATGAAACCCGGAAGCCTTCTCTTTGCACACACGGCATGGAGGAAGCGTCCTTAGCAACTCAGATTTATCTCGCCGGGGTCTCGTGGCCATGGGTGTAGAGGAGCCTGGGGAAGGGGTTTCTGACTTCTCTTTGGACGACGACGGCTTCGGCGATGAAGAGGACGCCGCTGTTTGAGAGCTGGGGGGAGGTGAGGAGGCATCGTTTGTCTGACCCCCCGTCTCTGAATCGTTCACAATATTGTCGCCAGTCGCCATCTTGTCGGCATTACTCCTCGACTCGTCGTCTGGGAGCGAATGATTGGACTGGGAGCTGGAGTCTGAAGATGGCGAGAAATTGTCACGGTCTTCGAAGCTTTGTGGTGGAGTTTGGGCAATGACGGTCGGCAGAGACGACGATGGCGATGATGATGATGATGATGGGGAGGATAGTTGCGGGGAAGAACTGATGGCAGAAAGTTGAGATAGAGAAGATTCATCCACAGGGGGCTCTAAGGTGAGCAGAGACGTTGTTGGGGATTCCGGCGATCGCGGGGATGGTGGCATAGAATACTGTTGCTGTTGTTGTGGCTGTTGCTGCTGCTGTTGCTCTTGCTGTTGTTGCTGCTGCTGTTGCTCTTGCTGTTGCTCTTGCTGTTGCTCTTGCTGTTGTTCCTGCTGTTGCTCCTGCTGCTGTTGTTGCTGCTCCTGGGAGCTGTCCTCAGAGGGAGGCGAGGCCGCGTTAAATAACTGATCGAAGGAAAATTCTGTCCCGAACGAAATCGGGGAATTGAGGCCGAACATTTGCGGCGTTCTCTGGAACCATGAGCTTTGAGGGTGAGGGAGTTGTTGGGGAGCTGTGTGTCGTGTGTCGTGTGTCGTGTGTCGTGAGCTCTGACAGGGTTGTTGGTGAGCTGTGTGTCGTGTGTCGTGTGCCGTGAGCTGTGTCGTGAGCTTTGATGAAAGGGTTGGGTGCTGGGGATCCGACACTGTTTTTCTTATCTGAAAACACAAAACAGGATTGTGAATGGTTCCAAAAATAACTAATTAGACATCATGTTTACTGCGCCTTTCAATACTGAAAGGCAGAACCTACAAAATAAACGTCGCAACAATGATGAATGATGATGATGATGATGATGATGATGATGATGATGATGATGATGATGATGATGATAATAGTAATAATATAATAAAACTAATAATAATAATAACATAAGTTGTAGACGGACGGGTGAGCCCAGAGCTGGCACCAGTGACGCTGTGTGAGAAGTACACTGGCACTTTGTCCATGACAGCTGCAACATTGTACAAGTCATTCATTCATTCTTTCATTTGTTCGTTCATTCATTCATTCATTCATTCTTTCATTCTTTTATTCTTTCTTTCATTCATCTTTTTTTGCAAATCTTCAAAATGTAAAATCCAACAGACTCTCTCGCTCGTCTGAAGATTTAAATAAAACAAAAACAAAACAAAAAAGCAACAAACAAAAAAACAACAAAAAAAGAACAAAAAACAAACAAGAAAAAGACAAAAGGGAGAAAACAGTCAAAGTCACCACAGGTCTGTTCGTTGTTCATGTTGTCAAAGTCGACAGAATTTCTTCAGATTCTTGATCTAGCGGCGGGTCATAAACCGACGTCGTCGACTTGAGAGCTTCAGACATCTCTCTGCTCGGGATCTCTCAGCCAAACTAAATGGATAGTATTACTATTTTTCGTTGTTATTGTTATTATCGTCCCGTTCTGTGTCTGTCTCCTTGATGTCAAAGCCAGGCCGGTCACATGACAGGAAACTCATCCGGCGGGGAACGTTACAGCTATATCAGGGGGTGACGCTCCTTACAGAGAGTGGACGAGTCCATCGTGGGGAAATCAGGCGCTCGTCGTCAAAATTACGAATTCAATCGAGGAAAACGACCTTTTTCTACCAGTTCAGCAATTTTTATCACTTTTCGTTTTGGTTTCAACACATTCTTCGTCCGTTTCAAAGCTTTCCTGAACGGATTTGACGTAAAAACGCTGATCAAAGGCACATGAAATTAAATGTACAAATGTATAGCAGTTTCCAAGAACACTACAGCTTGGGTGTGACGTACCGAGCATGGGCGACCATTTTCTCGATAATTTTACCTCGACAACTGTCGACCCCTAAAACTTCCTTCACTCGCAAATATTTCGACTTTTATTCACCAAAGACGGGAATTTTTAAAAGCAAATGCAAATTAAATGAACAGACATTAACGAGATACCAATGCCAAGATATTGACGAGCGTCTGATTCCCCCGCGTCGAGATACAAATGGTGGAGTCTCGGAAATTCTAGAAGCAGCGAAGAAAACAAACGGGATTGTCTTTGTCAACATCGGTGTTTACTTTGAGTGAGAACGTATTGGTTTCTTGCGCCGTCATAGGCCGTCATCATCTTCATCATCATCATCATCATCATCATCATCATCATCATCATCATCATCATCATCATCATCATCATCATCATAGTGCGGGTGGTTGGCGGTAGTTCTGCTGTATCGTCCTTTTCTCTCCTCCTTTTTCTGTTTTCAGCTCTTGTGACACCTCTAACCTTCGGGATTTACAGGACCTATATGTGTTGCAAGTGCCGTAAAACGCTTCCTAAAACATAACCAAACATATTTTCCAGCTAGTGTTCAACAACGATGATAAAACGAGACTATAATAATGTTTCTTGACTTCCCAGCAGTGTGTCGGTGAAGCTGCCAGCGAGCAGCACTGATGGTGCCGTTATAGTGCGAGTTCTGCTGCACGGACAATATTGTTAGAAATAATTATCTGAACAAGAAAACTTATGGATGAACGGTCTTACACTCAACACTAGAATACGAGTTCTTTAGTACTGTGGTAAGTCAATAGATCTTTAGTACTGTGGTAAGTCAATAGATCTTAAGTTCTAGGAAAAGTCAATAGATCTTAAGTTCTAGGATAAGTCAATAGATCTTTAGTTCTAGGATAAGTCAATAGATCTTAAGTTCTAGGAAAAGTCAATAGATCTTAAGTTCTAGGATAAGTCAATAGATCTTAAGTTCTAGGATAAGTCAATAGTTCTTTAGTACTGTGGTA